CCAGGACGATGAGGTAGGGCAGCGGGCTGCCCCACTGCAGCCCTGGGTGCAACAGACAAGCCCTGGTCCGCAGGCGCCGTGGCCGGGCCAGGCCGTGTCCCTCCCTGATGCCCGGGGTGCTCGGACGAATGCTGACGTGGGGTTGGGTACCGGGACCTGCCCCCTCCCCGCCCAGCCGGGCAGCCCGGTCCATGCCCATGGGGCAGCATTTCTGACCCAGGGGTTAATGGGTAGGATGGGCTGGCGTTGCAAGAGCGGTGCTGAGCACAGCCATGTAAAACATTTTAAGTGGCACCTCAAACCAAGCTGTGTCCACCTGCTCCGGAGCCTCTGCATTCAGCCCCCGCTACGCAGAGTCACTAAGGCTGGTGAATATTTGCAGTAGATACTCATTTTGCTTTAAAACCAAACAAAACCTTCAACAGCAGTGAAAAGGTACATAAAATGTGACGTCTGTGCCTGAGTTCAATGTTAAAATTTTCATCCCCTTCAAGACAGAAACACCTGCGGATGGGAGGCCAAGGGGGGGAATCCCTGCTTAGAGAAAAATCCGATCTTTGACAGGCTAGGAATTTGTTCCCTGAAACAAGATCTACTGCCAAGTTCACCGTCTGGTCTGCCAGACAGCAGCTGTCCATCAGCCCTTATCAGTGCTAATCTTGTATTTTTCTGCATGAGCCTTTTGCTTAGTGCTGTGAAGGTCTCTGCTTACCTGTGGCAATGGGAGTGGGAGGCCCTACTGAAACGACATCCTTCCCAGAGGTTGGCGTTGCTGCAGGCAGCTCTGCAAAAGTGGAAGAGCGCAACTGTAACGCTTCCCAAACGTCAGGGCTGCGTCAGGTGGGAGTGGGGTTTGCTCTGGGGTGATCTCTGCGTGCCCGGCGAGCCCTGTCCTACCCACCTCGGCCATCAGCGAGGCCTCACCTGCTCCGCTCCTTGCACCTGCAGGTAATGGCTGCCCTGAAGTTGCCTGGCCCATTTCGGCAACAACTTTGCTCTGGCTCTCTCAGGCTAACACTTCTGAGGTAAAAGGAAAGAAAACACCTATTTGACCTGCTCTCAGCAGCAAGCCACGTTTTTCTCCCTGATGTGCCATCTCTCTCCTGGCCTCCACACCCCAACACATCGATGGTAACCCTACCAGACATGGTGTGTTGTAGATATAAGCGCTTGTGGCTGGCTTCAGATCGAATCCACATCTACAACTACAGAGGATGCTTCAATTTTCTGTCTCGCTGGGCCTCACTGAGGTTTCCACAGGACTGTCTCACTTCATTTCTCCTGCAATGATGCCCCAGCTGTCCTGGGGTGTTTTACAGATGGCAGCTGTGCCTTGAAGCTCTCTGATGGATGAAGCCCCAAGGTAGGTTTCCTGTGCCCGGCTGAAGTTGTGTGACCCCCCCCGGCTCCCCCCCCGCCCCAAGCACTGGCATGGCTGCCGTCACGAAGGGGCTCTGGCCCCGCCACCCAGAGCTGAGCACCCGCATCCAGGGCACACGGACACCCACTTCTATCCCTCCTGGAAAGAGGATCTGCAGCCCAAAAAGACACTAAAGTAAATTTGTCTCACTCAGTTCAAAGTCTTATTTCCAAGCCCTGTGTCATTCACACACTGCCAGGAAGAAAGCGGCACTTCCTTTGCAGCCCTGAGCCTGTGTCCCTTCCAGCCCTTGCTGGTCTCACCTCCCTGTGAGGTGAGCTTGGGTCTGGTGTGTCTGCAGGTCCCAGTGCCGGACCGCTGTCTGACTGGGGACCCTGTGGGAGGGACTGGCCACCAGACGATTTCCCTCACTCCCCATCAGCATTACAACCCAGGTAAAAGGAAGACATGCCAAGGGCAGGAGCAAGGCTCCCACCTTGCAGAATCTGGGTCCCACAGGGACATATTTCTCAACCCTGCCGTGATCAGCCATGCTGTGAAGCAGGGAGGATGTCAGACCCTGTGATTTCCTCTCTGAGTGGCACTATAATCACAATGCATGTTCAGCATTAAGTGTCCGATCTGTGTACAGAAACTGTTTGCCTTGATCATTTCCTGCAGCTGAGATGACAAGCTCTAGCATGGGGACTCACCTCTCACTGTCAGCTCTACAGCATCGCTCTGCTGCGCGACACGTGCCCCAACCCTGTTTTCTGCTTCACAGTAGTATTTCCCCGAGTCGGAGGGTCGCAGACTGTCAAACGTGAGTTCGGCCTGACTGCCCAGAAGCCGAGCTTTTCCTCCCGGCTCTCCCAGGAACCAGCGGTAGCTGATGGGTGGGGATCCAGTGGCCACACAGGTCAGGCTGGTCCTGGCTCCTGCCGGGACCATCAGTCCCAGCTCACCAGCCCTGATGATGGGCTTAGTCACTGCAACTGAAAGACAAGCAGATTGGGCTCAGGTCACGCGGGCCTTGGATGTGTTAGAAGTCTTCCCTGTGCTCCATAGCAGTTCACTTGCTGGGTTTAAGTCCTTCCCCAGAGGGAACAGAGGCACCAATGTTATGTCACCTCTCTGCACAGATTAAGCTCAGTTCTCCTGTACCTACAAACAGCTTTACACTAGTTATGCCACCCATTCCAATTGCGCTATCACAGAAGGCCTGCTCTGCTGGATTGGTGCCCTCTCCATCCTGCCCTAAACCCACCTTGCAGAAAGAGATTTAGTTCTAGCACACATTGGGGATGTTCTGGAAGGGGAGAGGGCATATTTGGCCAATACAACACCCACCTGATTTCCCACTTGCTATAGGAGCCACAGAAACACCGGTTATCTGGACAGAACCAAGGACAGATTTGAGTGCTATCTCAGACAGCAGTGGGTTCAAATGGCCTGTTGGTAGATCCAGATTCGGGTCTGAACTAACTGCTCCCCCTTCCCCAGTCTACCACACCACCACAGTCCTGAGAAGTATCATTTCCTCCTCCTCGGAGAAGCAGGACTAGCCGCAAGGAAGAGGCAGACACTCTTCCCATCGAGATGCCTCAGCACCCAGTTTGGATGTGGGTAGACAATGTGGTGTGAAAGACTCTTCCCTGAGCTACGTGCTCCCTACCAGCTGCCTCTTGTGCTACGTGCTTTGTGAATTAGAAAGGCTATGCAAGAGCAGGGCTTCATTGCCGGATTTACCTTTGACAACTTTAACTATAGTGGTCACCTCCTTTGTTATCAAGCTGTTATTTTTAGACCTCCAGGTGACTTGACAGGTGTAGTGTCCACTGTCAGGGATTTCAAGGCTCTTGATTTGAAGTGTGACATCCCCTGGGCTGTTCTCTGGGACACTGACACGGTCTCTGAACCGAGACAACAAGACGTGGTCACCAGAGTTATCCCTACGAAAGATGGCAGAGGTACTATAGTCTCGCTCCATGCTCCAGATGAGCGTTTGCTGCGTGAAACCTTCTGAGGGCACATAGGTACAAGGTAAAGCAGTGGATCCTTTCCATGTCCCATTGATCTGGTGTAGGCCAGACAGATCCAGGATGGCTGCAGGGAAAAACAGTTGAAGAAAAGAAATCAAAAACTGCAAAGGAGAAAATGTCCTTAGGATAGACAGGAATCACCAGAAGGTAGAAACCAGCATGAAGCAGCATGTTAGATGTGCTGCAGACCACAGCTGGCTAAACCTGGACCTGTGTACATCTCACTGAGCACAGGGAAGTGAACAGTTGCTTAAACTCCATGGCTGTTTTTGATTCTCTCTGGTTACTTGCCAGGTTTTAATTCCCTCTTGGTACAGAGAGGCACAAATCCTGCTCCTGCTGCAGCATCACAGCTATAGTGTTCACAAGACCTTAAGAAGCACTCTTATTCCTGCTCCCTAGCTCCAGCCTTCATGTTCTGCTTTTGCTGCTTGGCTTTCTGCTTCCACTTGCAGGTGATGAGTCAAACAGCAGTGGACTTCCTCCCATCCCCAAAGACACTGGGTGCTCTGACGACACCAGATGCAATGTTGTTCTGTACCTTACATGAGGGAGGAAGGATGAACAAGTCAATTTTATTGTTTTACTGCAATCAAGCATATTTGTTAGGTCCAGCATTTGCACTTATCAACGTCACTAATTTCTTATGTAACTTCCCTGTTGCTCACAGGTCACAGCAGTACAGCTGTGCAGGCATTAGCACTTCTCTGTGCAACAGCCTGTCCCAGAGCTATCAGGAGGGACCATTCAGGGGGAAGTGAGGATCTGCAGATCTCTGTCCAGGAGGACAGCCTAGGGGACTGCTGGGGCTGAATACAGTGGAAGTTTGTTTCTGACATGGAGCACTGTTTTTCCTTTAGCAAATGACTTTGAGAGGGCAGGCACAGCTCCATTCTTTGAATCTCGCACCTCTAGCAAATGCAACTCCTTGATATATCTGCTTTTGAAGGTTTTTCTGGAAGCTCAGATATACTCTCAAGGCATTTGATGCTCAAGTGTATTTAGCATCCAGTGTATTCATCTGGACATAATTTTAGTTAAACATTTCTCCAATATTGCTTTGTATTGCTGTGTGCCATGAAACAGCTGCTAGTATGCACTGATTCACTGTGGAATCGGCTGCACTCTGTGTATAATTGATTCCAGCACTACTGGGGCTGACGTCAAAAGAGAGCTAATCGGAAGGAATGGAGAAACGCAGCAAAAGAAAAATCTCCAACAGAGCATTTGTAATGGAAATATTTCCTCCTAGGACAATTATTAAACTGGAATGTAATCTTCAAAACAATGTGAACCCTCCTGCCAGAGGTAGATAGAGCTGGATTAGATAAAATCTGAAGAGCTGTATTAGAGAGTAGCCCAGATAGGTCAGAGGGATTTGTATCACCCATAATGCACGATAATGGCACAAAATTTTAAACTCTCAAATTCTGATGCAGTTTATAAAGTAACTAAACATCTCCCTAGACTGCCAGCACCCAGCTTTCCTGGTAGTGTGGAAGCGCCTTGCAGATAGGGGCCTTTAGGTATCTGCTCTGAAGTCCTGGACCTGAAACAAGAACCGTGAACCCAAAGCTGAACTTTGTGCTTTAGCCTTGGAAGACTTCATATGTGACCTAGCTTTCTTAGTTCATGCCTACCCCATGCCGATAAACAAGTACCTTCCAAGTACTCAAGTGGGCACAGGAAAATGGGGAGGAGGGGTAGCAGGTATGTTGTGGTATCCAGCTCATTTTCCCAATCTCTCTGGCTGTCTGCCGGTGAGACCACAGTTCCTTTGGGAAGTGCCTCATCCAAGCGGCAAATTACCTGAACTGAGCTAGACTTGGCTCACCTCTATCCATGTTGCCTTCTCCCTCTCCCTGCTTCTTTTTTTTTCCCCCCAGAAAGGCACTGGTTATATTCAGTTGCATTAACACACAATAAGCAGCTTAAGAGGCTGATCACAGAAATCTCTAAAGCTGCTTTTTTCATAATGAAATGGGGAAAGTAGTCTAAGTCTGTTTTTCTGAATATCAGGAGCAATTCTGTGCTTCTGTATACAACTGTCAAAGCATCTGTAGCTTTTCCCTTTCTCCTGTTTCCCAAGACCTTTCTCTGCCAGTATCAATGCACTAGGAGCACGCTCAGATGCTTCATGGGCATATAAATTGAGGCAAAGATTCCAGTATCACCTATCCTAATGCACCTAGACAGTCAGTAGAGCAGGAGAGACCAAGGTGAATTATGCACATGTCTGAATCTAGGCTCACAATTACAGCGGTACTTCTTCCTTCCCAGAACCAGGCTGGTAAAACAGTGGTGATGCATCATTCAGCTCTAAAAGTATGTGCATATTCCAGCTCCACAAAGACTGTTTTGGAAGCTGACACACCAGAGCAGATCCTCTCCAAGGATCTTGAACAATCCTGTTTCGTTCTCACTCTTACTCTCAAAAGCACATCATTGTGTCTGATGCCAAAGGAGACTCTTGTGAGTTCCCAGGCTTTATTTTTTCATGCAATAGAGATTTTCCCCACTTGACAATTTTTAGAAATTAAGACACTAAAATTCAAAAGATTTCCCCTGCCCTCTTAGTACTCAGATATTTCTTCTAATGTGAGGAAGCATTTACTCACCACTACAGCTGATGAAAGCCTTCACAAACACTGCTATCCATACTATTTTTTCCATTCTCCTGGACCTGCAGGTTTGTCCTCCTTTCCCTCCACTTACTCAGAGAGAGACCCACACTCCCGAGACCAGAGTGCAAGTCAAGAATACTTCCTTTTCTTCTGTCCTATATATCATCTAGGATCCGGGCTGTGCTGCTGCCCTTTTTCCTTCCTTCTTTCTGAAATATCATGAGTCCATTTCACTGATGACTGGGTTGAAGGATGAACAAAGACTATAAGGATCTTTCTGCTTCCATTTCATGTTCTGCTATCCCCATCCACTTCTCTTACCATTCTCCTGACTTTCTCCAAGGGATGCTCTAAATGCTCTTTTTTTATTCTCTTCATAACTGGGTATTTTTTGTTTTTGTTTTTGTTTTTTTGCTTCCTTTCTTTCCATGTTTGCAGACATTTCACAATGAAAGAGCTTTATTATGACTACACAGTCAAGCACTCAGTAGCAAGGGAAAGCAAAGTTCTGGCTGCTTGAGAAGCATGAATTCAACTTTCAGACTTTTGTGTGATGACATTAGCATTACTTACACAATTACATACTATTTTGCCACGCACAGGACAGGTGGTGTCAATTCACTGCCTCCACTTCTAACATTATGATTTATGTCATCCCATCTTCCTCTGTGGTTCTAGAATAGAGCTGCTGCCCATCAGTCAGTTCATCTTCCCAGCACCTTTGTAAGGCTAAGCATGATATTAGCCACATTGTAAGTGCAAAGAACTGTGGCACAAGGAATTGAAAGTCTAAAATATCTCCTGGTTTTGGATGGTCAATTACAGCGGTCACAGATGATCTGATTTTCCAGAGTAAATAACATCCCACAACACTTGGGACATCCAAAACATTGCTTCCATCGCTTTTGCGAGTGGCTGGGAGTGCTCAGCATCTCTATCCATCACACCATAAGGGCTTCTAACCAGGCATCCAGAAATGGAAAGCACAGTAGCCTATACTTGGGAAATTTGAACTGACTCACCTAAGATCACACAGGAGCATAAGTAAGGCAGAGACCAATCTGGGCAGGCTCAATTCCATTTCCTCACTATCTTCTCCTCCTGTTGGCGCTTAGCTCTTCCACCATGCACACGTACCGACTTCTGCAGCAAGGAACTTCTTTGATGCAACCCCGCTCATCTGAGCAGGTCAGTCTGTGACCTGAATAAGGAGGAAAGCCAGCCCTAGCTTCTTTGCCTATCAGTCTGAGCCCTTTTTTCCCCAAGGTTCTGACTTGGACCCAGCTTGGGCAGACTTCTATGGCAAACAACAAAAGGTACATCCTTAGCATCCCCTGCCAAATTCAATTTCTTGCTGAAAGGCACAAAGATACATCCTTTTTTCCCCCTTGCTGCTAATTTTTAAATATATTGCTACTATCTTAAAAAAAAAAGTGCACTGATATATTTCATTTACTTAAAAGCCAAAACATAGACAAAATACTACAGATCTGAAGCAGTTTCCTATTTTATTGATATGGGCTGCAAGCATATTTGTCTAAGCCTTTCTGTTCCCAGTAACGGCTGAGATGATGTGACTAATTTTTTTTTTTTAATTATTCAGGCAGAGACGAACTCAAATATAGGAGTTACCAGCTGAACTAGCACCAGTGTGACAACTAAAACCAACTGAGAATGAGTTCATATGATAAGGAATATCACTGCAACGTAATAAGGAATTTCAGTACCTAAGTATGATTGGCAGTTCAGGAAAGATGAATGATGCATTCTCAGACCTGAAACTGGCACAATTTAAATCACCCTTAGCAATGCTGAACACAAAGTCTGGAATAACAAAATATTACAGACCACAAAACCTTAGGATGCCACTTTTACTGTTTTTTTTTCAACAGAAAATGGAACTTAGAGTAAAAGAAATTTTCAGTCTAAGTCTTTCTGTAACTTTTCTTTTGTGATGAAATTTCCTAAAATATAAGCAATTTTTTGATACATTGCTATTGGTTTTTTTAGTAAAATCTTCTGATATCTTTCATTTGTTTAAAATTTAGAAAGTTAAATGAAATAATATTTTTTAATGTGATTTTCCACTAAACACAGAAAATGCATGGGAAATCTCTATTGCAGATCTGTGAGGGCAGTCACAGGGTGAGCTCAGCTCCCTGCCCTGGTCCTGCCTTCTTTTCAAATGCAATAGTCCCCTTTAGAGAGGCAAAGATGTCCCATAAACCACGGCAGTCCAGGCATTAGCACGTCTTTTAAACTACTGTGGGACCAACCGTCTCATGTAGAAAGCAGTGTTTGGGCAGGCACAAAGTATTTGTGAATCTCGAGGAGTTGGAAGCGCACAGATGTCTGAGTCATGGTGTGAAAAAAGTTGAGAACACATGAAGAAAAAGATGTGGGTTTATATTTCTAGCTTGCTAATGCAGTGCTTTTCCTTTGCCTTCCTATAAGTGCACCACCTCTTACAGTCCAGGGAGGGTTTCTTTTTTTCTTCCTCCTACTATTAAGTCTGTATGAGGAAATAAGAACTAGCACCTAAGCCCAGTCAGCTGATGCCAGGGAACAGAAAAAACCTTATGCTCTAACTGGAGTAACTCGAATTTGTACACTACCACTTTGGTAACGGGAAGAAGAGGTATTTAAAAACAACATCCTGCTCTTTACTACAATAGGAAGGGAACAGCTGCCTTTTTCACCACTTGGCCGAAACTATGCCTGATTGTGGTACAGCTATAGATGCAGTCATATCTACCAGGGATATAGAGAAGGTACATAAGGAAACCAGAGGTTAACCACCTAGTCATCTGCATTTAACGTTACACAAGTTTTTACCATCTACAGGTGAGCAGATAATCACTGCCTGGTGCTCTCATTTTCACAGTCACCGACTGTCTTTGTACCCATCCCTGTTGCAATAGTCAAACTCGTGCAAAAGCCATCATGCTTCATGTTCTGCAAACACATGCAGTGTTTTCTGAGGGTGCAGCTTACAAATGGCGGCGGGGGGGGGCAGCAGATTTTAACCTAGGAGAGATGATCTGGGCACACTCTGTAGGAGTACCTTTATAACTAGATGCAAAAGTTAGTAGCAGATGTTATGTGTAGGATCAATACGTGCCTGCTAATTATTAACAACAGGAGAAGGAATTACAGAAGATAAGAAATGCATATATAAGCAAATCTACTGACCTAGTAGATTCTGTTATAGGCATTTAAACACTCGCTAAAGCAGCTTGTTGCTATTTATTCAATATTTATGCCTTAGCATTTAGTTTTAAGAAGAGCATTTCTTAACACATCCACTGAAATGCTTTCAAGGAATAATTTCATTTCCCTTCAACTTGCTTGTTGTTGTGCCAACAGGGAAGATTTCTGTCTGCACAGTCTTCTCTGCTTGAAAGAATAACAAACAGAAAGAAAGAGCAGATTCCCCTGCAAGTCTTCTCTCACATACGTCAGTATGGGAAGTCTAGGGTTCACAAGAAATTCAGAATAAAATTTCAGCATAAGGTAGACATGTTTGAAATACAGGGAGCCATTTTCTGATGGGCCTAGGAGGGAAGGTTAATATGCGTGATTTTGCCCCAGTTATGTCCCATCACAACAGATATTTGTTCAGTTAGGAAGCGTTTACATAGCAGCTGAGGCCAGGCCTTTCTCTGGAAGTGCTACAGTTTGTCAGTGATGGCTTGTTCCCAACTCTGCGCAGGGCACTGAAGACCAATTACTACCTTCGTTTTCACAGACTCTGTCAACTGATGAGCAAAGCGCAGATCTCATTTCACTCTTCTAGTAGAAGCACATCCATGCTTGGTGGCCTTCTGAATGTGATTTGAGCCGAGTTCTGCTTATTGTTGCACTAAAACCTGCTTGTGGCATGCATATGCAGCCTGGAGGAGCAAGCTGGGTGTGGTGTGGTGCAGCAAACATATGTGAGGCTCCAGGCTAAGAGTGCCACCAGCTGTTATCCTGCAGAGGAAAACAACACAGGGAGAGCACTGCATGCTCTTGAGATCGGATCCTTGCTGGTATGATGGAAAGTTAATTTTTGCTGCCTTTTCTTCTCAACTTCTTTCCTGAAGCTACCAGTATGGAACCAGTTTGTTTGAATTGGAACAGAAACATCTAGCTTGTGGGCTAATGCCTGTACCCCATCTGCCCATTTTCTGTCACCAAGGTGCCACTAGCTAGATTTCAAAGTTTCCTGCCTGGAGAGAAAAAAGCACTCTTAAGATTCAAACAACATCTCTGAAAGAGTGAATGAGTCCATTTTCAGAGACAGGATTTAAAACCAGCCATTTGTACATCCTGGCTCATGACTGGTAAGAGAAGCTTGTCCTTACCACTTATCTCCTATTCAAAAGACTTTAAAAGAAGTTGGATTTGGGGGAAAACATGCCCCATCACAAGCTCAAAACCTAAGCTAAAACTGCTGATATGACTATTTTCTGAACCGGACATGCAAGACTTCCTGAAGCTATAATTATAAAGGATAAAAGTTGACTACTTAGCTAAAACAAACACCAAGAACTGTAGTTCCTCAAATGTGATTTACTTAACATTAGCTTTCCTTTTGGACAGAGACATATCTCCTAGTTTTCTCCTCCTTGAGTCACACAGTCTGCCCATTTCCTTCTTTCTAAAGGGACTCCTCATAGTTTTGCATCTGAAAGTATGAAGAAAAAGTCTGGAGAAGAAAAAGTCTGGAACGTCTCAGACATTATGCCTAGTTACCTGGTTTATTATAACGAAATATTTAAAAGGAGTACAGACGGGACCTTGGATACTCATAGGCCCCAGCTCTGCAGAGCCTGAATCCTTACCCTCACGCTTTGAGATTCTCTAGCCTCTGGCAGAATAGAGTTTGCTACAGTGTTTTCCTGGTGAGGCAAATAACTTTTCCAGTCTGCAGCGGGGTGACATGCAATACTGAGTTTTGTGCAAACCACCAAAAGTAGGTAAGGGAGAAAGAAAGTACTCTTTATGAACTATTTGCATCCAGGGAAAAAAAAGACAAATTTTACTGCAAGATACTAGATACTAGGTGCAGCCATAGCAAACTCACAGAACTGATTGAACAGAATCAGGTTTACTAAATACTTTGGGGATGTTTCAGAGCAGTTGACTGTATTAGCCGCACAACAGTACAGACAGTCATGAGAACACAAACTTTGATCCACCTAAAGAACCAGAAAGTTAGTGTAAATGAGCTTCTCTTTCAAGGCCTGAGTCATGCAAAATGAACATGATGTACAAGTGACCTTTCTGAAAATTAACTTCCCTTACCAGGACTCTCCAGGTCACATCAGTTCTGGGTTGTCCGTTACCTCAGTCAAACCCTTTTAAGCGCTTCCTAGCGGTAAGCAAGCAATCTACATATGCTGTTGGCCGAGCATTCATTTCTTGCTTGTGCCCACATCCTTGCCTCACCTAGAGGTGAGTACAGGTGGGCTTCACAGATTCAGCTATTAGGTCAGTACAAATCTTTCCTTTACCTGCAGTTCTCACACTCTTACTGGCTACTGATGGTTTTGACAGTCTCACTGCTCTCACAAGGCCTGTTATTTGCAGGCTTTCCTGTTCCTCCTCGAGTAGCTCCATAAAGGCTAGCTGAACTCTGATTTTGGTAAACAGAAGTGTTGGTCTGGGAAGGTCTGCCTTAACCTCAGTTCATCTTCCTGGCTTGCTGAAGTACCATAAGGAGCTGCAATGTACTCCACGGGACGCACAGCAACTGCTCTCTTTTCCCCAGAGATATCCCATGCTGGATTAGGATACAATCCCTATCTTACATTATCCTGCTGTCCAACAGTGCATGCAATCCTGGTGCACCCTCTGCGATACAAACCATGCAGAAAACCTAGTTAATCGATTTCTTCTTAGTTTCATGAGCCTGATTTTTACTGCTGGCCTTAAAACAGTTTATTTTACCTCATCAGCTCCACATTACAGTTGTCCAGCCAATACAAAACTGCTATTTATCCATGTTTGCAGGGCTGCATCATCTGTAGTTTTGCAACACAACTGACATTGAATTGGTTTTTGAATTTGCAGCACAGCTGAAATACAGCTGTAGAATAAATGAAAGCCATCATCCATAGGATATGGACAGCGAGAGTGCTTGGATATACTCGGATCGTGCTGTAACCAACCTGCCCTTCACTGGAATCCTCTTTGTTTCTGTATCTGTATTGCTACTTGACTTCTTAATGCTCTTTTTTTGTGCCAGAGCTCTGCCTGTGAGATATAAAACATTCCCCCCCCCACATCACACCAGATGGACAACTGTGCAAGTAACATCAGGGCAGTCAGAGTGAGGCATCAGTTTGTTTAGTGGTAGCAGTCATGCCAAGTATATCAAGCATCACCACACTCCCCTCAGAGAAAACGCATCGTTCTGGTGCAGTGTATTTACTGACATGGGTGTCTCCATCCAATTGTAATGGCACTCCAACTTCACCTACATCCTTTTGTGGGGGGGGGGGGGAAAGGGGTACCATCATCTAGCGCAAAACCCACAACTTCTCTCTGAAAACAAAGATGAAAATAAGGAAAAAACCAGCTAACTCTTGAGAACTGATAGTAGAGGCTACACTGCTTAAAATAACTGCCTCTAACTAGCACAGCACATGGGGTCAAAACCAGCAGCAATGGAAATACTGCTAGGGAATAGTTTGCTGTGCTGACAGCATTACTGTTCTTTTGTTCATACAGAGCTCAACTCTGTCCTGAAGGGAGAAGTTTTCTGGGGCTGTTGGCTGTACCTACCACCTCCACTTACAAAAAAGACAAGCTCCTTTCTCCTCATTCTCCAAGCAACACACGTCATCCCCACACCTCATCCCCACACCTCTTTTCTCAAATGTTCCCTCCAACACCCTGTCACTTGATTTTGGAGTACTTCTGCTTTCCAGTTGCTCCATATATTGCTGAAGCCCTATATTCTCATTGTAATGAGCTAGTTTCTGAGATGGACCTCAAAGGAGTGGGCTGCTGTCCAGTAACATTAGCATTCTCTTCCTAACATGACCCCTGGCCAAACAAGCACACAAACTTTTTTCTTTTAATTTCTTCTTCTAAGAGGACATTACTGCAGAGTTCCAAAAACCACAACCTCACCTAGAGCTGAAAGACAAGCAAATGCAACAGTTACCCAAAAGATTTCATGACTGTTGATTTATCATTGCATCTCATTGTCCAGTTACAATTTTTCTTTTGCCCTCTAGAAAACTTTTAGTGGTAATTGTGTGTCTTGCAGTATGAATGCAAGAGTTCTCCCTCCCTACTCATCTTCTTCCTTAGGAAAAAACATTGGTAAGACTTCACTAGCTTTTTTCATTCTCCATAATAAGACTCATTTTCTACCACATGCAAAATATCTTATTTCACTAACTCCTAATCTCAAACTGGACTAGCAGAAACTCTTGCATCTTCTATCTCCTCAACTATGGCTGACTACAGTCTACAAATATCACCCAACACAACATCCAAAACATATCCCAAACTCCAGCAGATGTACAATTCCTCTGCTTTCAAGTAGAGAGGTGTGATAAGCACCTAGGAGCTGAATTCATAGGCACATGCAGATATTCATGCACACCCAGCCTTATAGGCAAAATAAGGAGAAGCACAACAAAATTTGCTAACTTCACAAATCTGAGTTTTAATGATTTTCATTTGTTTCCCCACATTTTTTAAGCTACATGCACATGTTGATAAATTTTTTCCAAGACATTATCACCAGCAAAACCTACCGTTCTTTTGTTCCCTCTCCCTTTGAAAGGGAGGTTGCCCAGCCCTTGATTTTTATGTTATTAACAAAGAGAAATGAAACTTGTGATACAGGAAGTTTAGGGAAGAAGTGCAAGACCACTTATATGCACTGGTAAAATATCCCTGATTCTTTGTGTTTAATAGTCATTGATGACCTTTATATCATTAATTTTTCTAATTACTCATGGAGCCTCCATGTAGTTTGGGCTTTCATAGCAGTAGACGAGCAACAATGTGTTCCATGCTCAGTTATGTATTACATATCAGAAGTACTTCTTATCTCTCTTAAAACTGCTACCAAATTGTTTTAACTGATGTCTGCTCCATTTTGTTTTGAGAAACTGTAAACAATACTGCCTAGCCATCATCTTTATGCTGGTCATGTTTTAGTACACTCTGCTCACGTTCTCCCTTGTTCTTTTTTCAAGCTGAGAAATTATTAAATGCATTTAATCTGTTTTCATGCACCAATGGTTTCATGCCACTAGTCATCTTTTATTCCCCTCTTAGATCTCTCCCAGGTCTACTAGATCCTTTTAAGATGAGACACCTGCAGGCATACCTAAGAGGCAAGCACTCCATGAGTTTTTGTGGTATCATCATGTTTTCTGTTGTGTTCTAATTCCTTTCCTAGTAGTGCCTAATGTTCATTTTGAATGCTGGTGAATTTTGAGCTGACGATTTCAAAAAACTGCACACTTGCTGAGTGGTCACAGCAAATTTGGGGCCTACATCTTCATCTGTATTGTTGATATCCCCCCTTCTCCTGTCAGATCTGTTCTCCCTTGTTCTCCATCAGCACTGCTTTTGGTCTGACACGATACTGCCCTACTATTCATTATAAAAAGGCTCTCCTGTAACTTGGTACTATCTGCATTATTGATTTATTCAGGATAGTAAAAATTATGAATAACAAAGCTTTGCACCTCCCTACTTACCTTCATACCTTTTAAGTTGTAAGGAAAGCACTTCATGAGTAACTACTGGATATCTGCAATAATGAGTGCTTGCTGGCATTTTAAAGATGAGCAGGTCATGTACAAATATTCATGTTTGTATCAAAGTAATTTAGGCATATGTACACAATCCTAGCCACAAGCTTAAGGAAAAGTATCTAATCTCTTTCAAATATTAGTAGTGCAATAAAAGTAGAATAGAAAAGTTGCTCTCAGAAATAATATTTGTTATAATATTAAAATTGCCTAAGCTGTCCAGCTCTAAAACTGACAGCTTTTACTGTAATTAGAAAGTGTCTGTATTTTATTGCGAGTGTACTGCAGAAAGGCATACTGAGTACAGCATGATGGATTCACAGGACATTTCTTTTCAACCTGCTGCTTTGTGTGGTAAGGGCCTTGATTATAACCTAGCTTTAAGCTGTCTTTCAGCTGTTCTTTTAACAGTCGTCTTGCATTTAAAAAGGATGTAACGCCATTTTGGTGGTATTTTAGGCAGATAGCGTGCAGAGAGACACCACTTCCCAGGCCAGCATTCTCCTGCCTTTTTTAATGCACTAAGTTGAATAGAGCTATTTAGCAATACTTTGTGCTAGTTCTACTACACCAGACAAAGATTGTTTATAAAGAGAATGAAGTTCCTTTTGACCATATAGAGCAAGAAGGCTACTTCAGTGCTTTCAGCCTGAGATCTGAAGACCCTAGTTTTCAAAGGGCTCTCTTCTACAGAGGTGGTGAAAAGGAATCAAGAAAAGCAAAATCAAGAGACCTGTACAGCAATCTATAGCTGTGAAGTTTCTAAAAAAAGGTTTGCATTTTCATTGCAGAAGTTTAAGGCTCCATAAAACATGGAGGATCGAAAACTGCTTGTTCAACCTATTTTTCAGAGGAAAAAAAAGTGAATAGGAAGATAAATTTTGCCTGGATGGGGGTGCTCTTCAGGATTGCTACCTGTAGAGAACTGTTGGTTCTTATACAGTGTCCCCCACTTCATATTCAGATTCCTTTGCATTTCCAAGTGCGTCATATTTGTTCTCTTTCATGTTTGTTTCTTCAGATCTGTTGCTTTTCATGGGCTCTGTCACATAGTTGTTTTCAGTAGAGGAGATGGGTTCTTCATAAAGACCCACACTATCAAATCTTGAAGAAGCCTCTGCTCTCATTGAGTTGTTATAGCTGAAAAAAATACAATATGAAAGAAAAGTTGCAACTAGAGTAGACAAAGTATCTCCAAGTTAAAGAGATTTTGAGCTGGATTCTGATCTGACTCAGAGCCAGGTAAGCCCGAGCCACCTAGTTATAACAGTATCCTGAAGGAAAAAATCTCATCCTTGGCTTCCAGAAGAATGTTGGACGTTATATCAACATTGCTACAAGTTCAGGGAGAGTTTCAGAGGCAGCAAAAGATACTTAAGCAATACAAGCCTTATGATATCACTTCTTGGAACGCTATAATCAGACAATTGCTCTTTGCAGAATAAGGATACAGAGAACAGTGAAGAAAATGGCAAGCTTAATGCAGCCCATATGCACCATGTGGCTTAAGGCACCTAACATCCTTTAAAATGAAGATACATCTGCGGGAACAAATACCATCATATCATGTATTCAGTTGCTCACGGCTCAACTGTTACTTCAACATGCCGTTTTATAGACCGTTTGGGAAACGTAGCATCTAGGTAAGCATCACTGGCACATTGTATCATGACATTCAAGTCATCCGTATTTTAATTTATACCCAGATAAGTGATTCTCCCTGTATGTTTTGTCTAGATTATTATGCATGACAAAATGAAAAGCCTAAGTTACAAGTAGAACAGGATGCTGACATTTGAGTTTAGAAATAGCTATAATATCCTGCCCAAGCTATGATTAAAAGAGACAACTTGAGCCAAGGATTTTTTGGGGATAACATCAGCATGTGATTCGTGTATCAGGAGTACTGGCTCTCTAGAAAGAGGGGAATTCCTATTTTTTGAATTTGGAAAAACACTGGGAATTTATCCTGGACAACAATCTTCACTCAGCCTCATTGGTCTGAGAAGTAATTGAACAGTTCTCACTCATTTTTATTATTCTAATATTGCAAAGCAAAAGATCTCTCTTCCTCCGTTATATGTTGATGTGGAAAGCCCACAAAACATCCATAAAATGTACCACTGAGATAACTTTTAATCTCCTCATCCATACTGAGGAAGAGATTTTTCATCTTGACAGCTAAGTGGCAAAATTTTTTTTCTGCTCTGATACAGTCCTCAAAGCCTCCTCAGAATGTTAGATAAAGGATTATACTCACAGTTTTACTTCATAGACATGTGCTGGAAAAGAACAATCAAAAATGTGTATCAATAATTTACATTTTTATTCTTAAAAGAAAGTCTCTACTGTATCTTTTCTAAGACACTATAAGTCTCTCTTCAGAAGTTACTTGCTTATAGTGAATAAAAACGGACACCTTAAAGATTGTGTTAGGCGAGTGATGACTCTTATTCCCAGGATTCAATCCAAGAAAATTGAAAAAAAAAAGAATCCTAGCTAGAGCACAACTGGGTCAAAGTAATTTGCTTATGTCTGCAGATAAAGTTGAGTTTTAACCAGAAGTTCTCAGTTCCCGCACTTTTGTTATTCATTAGTTCAATAAAGGACAATTTTGGAAGGAGCTACTTTGGATTTCTTAAGAAGAAACAAAAAAAGAAGGGGTATTTGATAATAATATTAAATAATAGCAAGGAGTTGCAGAAAGGTGATTGATTAAGGAAACAAAGGGACAAGGAGAAAACTATGGCCAGTGGTATTTAAAATAAAAAAAGCTTTCTGAACTCTGCTATATTATTAGCGAGACAAGTTTTTAACAAAGTGTTTGGTCAGGAATTTTCTAATGTTAGTACAGAAGACAAGCAGTCAATGAATATGTTTAACCTATGCTTGAATGTTAAACAGGCAAGGAATTCCTATCAAATAAGGAGAAATAATGACAGCTAGTACCTAGATGAAAAACTGCTATGGAAAATATTAAACAGCAGCTGGGGTAAACAGGTATTTTTAAAACAGCAGGACAAGATTAATTTGCTATCAAAAACCTTAAAAGATCCGATTAAGAAACTCTGTAGAGCATATCGGTTTGGGAACTATGAGATGTCCATGAGGACTAGAGGAAAATAACCATCATGTAAGTAAGCTTGACAGAGCAAAGAAAAACGTAGGAAAGAAGCTGAGTAACACCAACATTGCACTCTGATGAAAGAGACCATGATATGATCCTATTCAAATCAACATTTAGATGAATATTCAATAACTTATTTAAAGAAGTTTAAAGTACTTTCTACAGCAGAATTGACATCAAGCTGGCCTCTCCTCTGGTAGCCCCTTTCTCTCTCCACAGCTTGTAGGAGCAGCACTGCTATGGTGCCTGCTTAGAGGCAGCAAGTGTGAAATGCTTCTCTCTCATTTTGTTTCTAAGGTCTAATTGCTGAGCGCAACTAGATCCTGCGGGCTCCAGCCAGTCAGTCACAGGCATGGTCCTCAGTGTCAGAAGGAGGCTGCTTTTAGCACCTGGTGTTACTAGAAACCATGCCAGGAAACACATGCAGCACTGAAGTTATTGGCAAAATATTTTAGATTCAGGTCTAAGCGGAAATCTGAGATGGCTCCGGGGCCAGTTATTTGAGCCAGTCTGGCCCTTGCTGAAGATTGCCTGCCCTCTGGTGTTCAGTTTTCTAGAAGTAGTTGCAGGCAGGCACTTTGAAACACCCAGCATTACCCGACAGGGTCTGGATTCATTGTGGACTATCTACTAGACTGGCCAAAGCCCTTTGGGGAATGATTACATCCCCAGAGTCTCACAGTGAGCAGAAGCTGAGCAAGTCCAGAAAGCAGCCCGAGAGCATGTAATGTGATTGATGCCCTTCTAAGGGGGTGTATTTTGCGTCTAAAAGAGCCTCTTAGACTTATGAGATCCCCCCCCACCCCCCAAAGTAAAAAGAAAGATTGTAAAGGGCAGAGAAGTCCCATTTTGATTCATGTATATTTCAATTAAGTACCTTCATAATTCAAACATTAGAGCTGCTACAGGTAGCTACAGGTAGTAATGAGCACAGTAGCACACCTATCCACAAAAGCCCTCAAAAGTAAAACCAAGTTGGATATGTACAACACACTCAAGTTTTCCAGAACAACCTACTCACCACTTTTGGGCTTTCTAATGCACAAGATAATAAAGACGATAAGGAAAACCACAGCACCACAAACCACAGCAATCAGGATGATCAGGTACAGGGACAGGCGAGTCTTCTGGAAATCTGGAACAACAAAGCACAAGCCTTTCAAACAGAGAAAGGCTCCTGGGTTGCAATACCAGCAGCAGTTACATGATATTGACCATCTCCCTGAAGGCAGAAATGGGCTGGTTGCTCAGTCAGCCCTTGTAACGGGCAGGCAGTTATACTGCATGCTCTTGTCCCTGCTTTTCCCCATCCTAACACCACCTTGTCATTTGGCTCTGAATAGGTGCGTTTGTGTAAGCTAGCTAGACTTACCGTTCACGTATCTCACTGAGACACTGGGACCATAAAGCCCACTGGCATAACTTCTTACTCAGAGATGCTCAGGCTAACCAGTGCTGTAAGAACCACTCTGAACAAAGCTGAAAAGAATAGTTACAACACAAGCCATGAGATCTGAGGGCTCAGCCTGAACCATCAGCCCTTTTCATCCACAGATACAATTCAGTTGTATTTGGAACAGTTTAAACCTACCACAGCACTGCAAAGCTAGATGAGCTATGAAAGATCTGCCTGAGCTGAACATTGACGCTTTTCTGCTCATCCAACTTTCCCACTCAAAGAAAAGACCAGAACGGACTACTGTTTGGGAATGCCACAAGAACTCTGTGACCGCTCCGATTATAAAACTGTATCTTTTCTTATATCCAGAGTCTTATCAAGAGCCATCATGAAAAAAGCTGTACTAGGATAAGATACAGGAACAGGTCAGCACTGCAGGAACGTAGACACCCTGAAAGCACCGTTTGCAGCCAAGATGTTTGAGGGGCTTGAGGACTGAAGGTAGTGACTGAGTGGCCAGTTTGGGTCCCTAGTCTCCTTCTTAGCTTTTGTTCTGCTCTCCGCTTACCTTTAGTTGTATGATTCTTTCCCGGATTTCCTACATCATTCTCAGAAGTCATTACTGTTAGGGGCAGATCTGCAAAAACACATCATCTCCATTACCTTTACAATGCAGTGAAAACAGCAAGCCCTAAGAGGACTATATACAGGTGTGTACCTGTCACAGTGGTAGGGCCTCGTGGAGTCCAAGGGATTACTGAGGTACCTCTGAACACCAGCTCCGTTGGATTCTTTTCTGTAAGAATAGTCAAGAATTGTCAACATCTTCCCTTAGTTTCTAGTTCCTGAAGGCCATTCACACAGCCTGCTGTGGGACTGTCTGAATTTATAATATGCCACCAAAGTGTTACCCAAAAATACGGTTTCCATAAGCAGATCTACTCTATTCCAAGCCCAAATTTCCACAAGCCACAAAGACAAACCATGCAAATTACAAGCCACCTTCAAAACAACGGTCCTTGGTAATCTGGACCATTTCTGGTCAAGTTTGAAGCACTTTTTGCATCACCTGTATCTACCAGTAGAGATACTACCTCTGCCTCCTACTTTAGGATTCTCAGTCAAGATCAGCAAAGAAAAAAAAAAAAAAAAAAAAGGCAGAAAACTCTTTTAAAGAGGTGGGGGGGGAGAACAAATTCTAGAAAAACCTATAGGGTCTCTAAGTTAAGAAATGGTATTTCTAACAGCCCTGCCCTTAGACACATACAAATTCATTCAGACAGAAAGCTGGAGCAAAAACAACAGAAACATTAAGTACCTTTTCCCCAGGAGCAGATTACAATGCTAAGCACTGGCATTAAACCTCCAACTTGACACTTTTCTTTGCCATTAACTTTCACTAAGCTCCCTGCACTTGTGATTTCTGTTATCTCCCTCTAGAAGTTTCCACATCACCCTGAAAGACCTCTGTTTTGCTGGGGGGAGGCACACAGTTTGAAGGCCTACTGAGGTAACCCGGAGCACCAGCCATGAAGTTATTGGTTTGTTTCTCCAAGGACAATCCTCCTTTAGGCTGGCTGACACATATATGGAGGGGTGGGGTGAAAGTGTTCTTGGGGCAGGAGCTCACTTAAAGTCAACCCAAAAAGCCCGAAACCCACAAAGAAAACACAGTGATCCAACACCTGAAATCCTTACCTGACAGCCCACATAGACCATGAAAATTGTAAGTTTGGACTCTCTATAGCCATCCTTGGGAACACAGGCTCAAAACATTGCCAGTCTAAAACTGGCCCAAAGGATGGAGCAGTTTATGACAACGCATAAAATATGTATACGTACAACTAGATATGCTGCCTCAACCTCTCATTAGACCTCAGAAAGGACTGGATACAAACTAATCCCCTACAAGCAAGCAAAAAGCCCTCTACAGAGCGGAGAGCTCAGAAAGCAGGATGCTTTGTATTCAGAAACATCTGGATTAAAACCTGAGGCAAACAGACTAAAAACAATATTTTGTCAAGAGTATGTTCCCCAGCAACAAAACCCATTGCAAAATGCTGGTGTTAACCCTCCAGCTGACTCCTTGTTCTTGCTGTCAGTTATAACTGCTATTACCCCCTCACCTGTGGTTGTTTGGTATCTCTCTGGGGTTCCCACACCACTCTCCAAAGCCACTGTTGTTGTGGGCAGATCTGTAAGTTGAACAAGAGCAATAGGCAACAAAGGGATTTGACCATGGCTTCTTTTGCTGTACTAATACAAAAGAGTTTATCCACTTGACCAATAACACAATGAAAAACCAACCAACTGTCTAGAGGACAGGTAGGGGACTGGTTGCTAGCAGTGTTAGAAAGCAGGTATGGTCATAAATAATTCTTAATCCTTTGCTGTACAATTTTGCATTCATGCGCAACTGTTACAAAAATCACAATGCATATTCAGCATTAAGTGTCCGATCTGTGTACAGAAAGAGGAAACTGTTTGCCTTGATCATTTCCTGCAGCTGAGATGACAAGCTCTAGCATGGGGACTCACCTCTCACTGTCAGCTCTACAGCATCGCTCTGCTGCGCGACACGTGCCCCAACCCTGTTTTCTGCTTCACAGTAGTATGCCCCCGAGTCGGAGGGTCGCAGACTGTCAAACGTGAGTTCGGCCTGACTGCCCAGAAGCCGAGCTTTTCCTCCCGGCTCTCCCAGGAACCAGCGGTAGCTGATGGGTGGGGATCCAGTGGCCACACAGGTCAGGCTGGTCCTGGCTCCTGCCGGGACCATCAGTCCCAGCTCACCAGCCCTGATGATGGGCTTAGTCACTGCAACTGAAAGACAAGCAGATTGGGCTCAGGTCACGCGGGCCTTGGATGTGTTAGAAGTCTTCCCTGTGCTCCATAGCAGTTCACTTGCTGGGTTTGAGTCCTTCCCCAGAGGGAACAGAGGCACCAATGTTATGTCACCTCTCTGCACAGATTAAGCTCAGTTCTCCTGTACCTACAAACAGCTTTACACTAGTTATGCCACCCATTCCAATTGCCATAACTCCTATATGGAAGACCTCTTCTGCTGTGTTGATGCCATCTCCATTCCTCTATAAATCATCACTGCCCAAACAAAGGGAATTCTGGGATGCGCAATGGTATTTGATCAAAGAAGAGCAACGCAATATCCTAGTTATTTCCTTTCTGCTTAATATCCCATGGAAACATTGGGAATTGGATACAAGTAGAGTCAGGGACAAATTAGTAAGTAAGAGGCCACAAAAACTTTCCCCCAATTGCTGAACTAGACAGTCCAGTAGGCCTCAATTTCCTTGCCTGACCCATTTCCTGCTTGTTAGAGGAGTCAAACTCCACTCAGCAAAACGCTCCTGTATTGGAAAGAAATGGTCTACCATGACTACATGGTCTATTCAGTTGTTAAATACTTTCTGAACGACAGAGACTTCCACTCTTGCACAGCTTCCTTTTTGGATTTACCTTTAACAACCTCAACTCTGGTGGTGATCTCATTTGTTATCAGGCTGTTGTTGCTGGTTTTCCAGGTGACTTGGCAAGTGTAGGTTCCCCTGTCGGAGATTTCAAGTTTCCAAATATGAAGAGACACGTTCCCTGGAGAGTTCTTCACAACACTGACCCTATCTCTGTACTCAGAGAGTAGAATGTGATCACCAGAGTCATCCCTCCTAAAAACAGTGCCTGAACTTTGGTCATGTACCACAGTCCAAATAACCGTTTGCTGCACAAAGTCCTTCACGGGCACATAGGTACATGGCAAGATGTTAAATCCCTTCCACACTCCTACAATTTCACCGGGGCCAATCAGGTCCAGAAGAGCTGCAAGAAAAACGTAGAGAGAAAAAGGAAAAGAAAAATCAAAAAAACCCTAAGCCAACAAAACTGCACTACCATGGTGAAGGCAACTCCTGGATCATGAAACAATGATGAGGGCATCAGCAAGTGGAATTCACCAGGTCACCAGCACTGGCAGTCAATGGAACATCTTTCAGGGGACAGGCTAACAGAAGAGCAACATGATGTTAAGACGACAGATAGGAGACAGCTGATTATGAGAAGAACTGAAATATGGCATGTGTGCTGAATTTGGCTCTTGTGCTCTGTCTGGTGTTTACACAAAGCACAAGAACTAAATTCAGCCTCAGGAGGAGCATAAGATACTAATTGTGATTAGTAGAAGTTTAAACTTGAGGGAAACAGTTTGTCTCCAAATTTAAGTCCCACAGTCCCCCAGTCACTCTTTGCATTTATTCTTCTGTCGCTTACTTTCACTTTTGGGGCTTTCCTGGGAAAGGCTGCTTGTTAACAGCAAACTACGAGAGAGTTTTTATGCTTCCTCTCCCCTATCATCTAAACAATCATTCCTTGCTATTCCATGCTACCCTAATTTAAGCAACTTAAGCAAAAGATAAGAGATGCCTAAAACTTTTTTCTTTCTTAAATAGCAAAATTGGAAGAGCTTGCTCCCCATTTTCCTTACTGTTAGGGGTGAACCTATACTTCCATAGGCACTTCTTCAAGTAACATCAGCCTTTACCTTCCCTCCTAGTTTCCAAACATCCCCTTTGTTGGTGCCATCCTACAAATTACATGGAGGCATATCTAAGGTCAAACTGAAGGGCTCTATGAATCTAATCTCAGACTCCAGGTTCTTTATTCTTCATGCAAGTGGAGAATAAGTAGACCATGATCTGACCCAGATGAATTGCATGTCTGGCTGTATCACTAGCCTTGCGATTACAGCAATATGCCTTTTTCCTTGCCACTGTTGTTCAGATTGAACAGCTCTTTATGCTTCTCTTCACAGGGAACTTTTAGAAGCTGACATGCCAGCAAGAGCAGCAACTCTCTGAGGACCCTGGGCAGTCCTTTTTGGTTCTAAGCTCTAGGAACACCAGAGCCAACTAGATGTCTAGTGCTGTGCAGCTTGCTACGTTCTTTGAAAGAATTCAGTATGTTGGACACAAGAGCTTTGTATTGGGCAGCATTTTCATACACTTCATGCACTGTTGCAGTCTGCAGCCACTAAATTTGAAGCTACTGAACACCAAACCAGAAGTATGCAAATAAGTTGGTTTTTTTTAAAGCCATATTTCTGTTCCTGAAGCCCCTGTACAAACACTCACCTACACACACACCAGTGTCAGGGAAGGAGCTTCCTCAGAACATAAGAAGTTTTTCATTTACTCACCATTGCAGAGAAGAAGAGGATTCATAAGCACAGCAGTTCTCACCAGCATTCCCATCCTTTCCAGGACTGCAGCTCCTTCCTCCCCTCAAGTAAAACAGACCTACTTTCTCAAGGTCAGGGAGTAAATCACTAACGCTTCCTTTTCTTTATTCACTTTGTCATCTAGAATCCAGAACAGCTGCTGATCGTTTTTTCCTTCCTCTTTTTTCACAAAACAAGTGCGTTTTAGTAACGGCTGTCAGAAGGGTGGGCAGAAAAGAAATCTTAACAGAGGAGAAGAAGAAGAAAGATTAAGAATTATTTCTACTCTAGTTCATATTTCCTACTGAGCTTGCTTTTCCCATTTTTTTAACTCCATTTCAAAATAACTGTTTTGTTTTTTATTCCTGAA